GGCAAGGGGTTAGTGAGGTCAGGACTTAAAAAATAAAAACAAACATAAAGCAGGGAGAACATAGGGTGCTGCCCTTACTCCCCCGTCCCCTGCCTCCACCAAGATCATTCTAACACCACCCACATTTGTGCAGCACTTACTATGTGCCAGGTACTATTCTAAGCACCACCCCTGAAGCTGGCATTCTTTTTAAAGATAAGGAAACTGAGTCACAGGAAGAGTAACTGCCCTAAGTTTGCACAGGTAGTTAGTGTCCTAAGCAGATGTAAACTAGCCCAGAAAAGTCATAAAATCCAATGCATTTCCTCAAGGCAGGGAGGCAGGCAGGCTGGCCAGCCCTTGTCTAACTGGATTTGAGCCACAGGTCTGGATGTGAGTGTCCCCTATAGGAGAAGGTAGACACTGTCCACTTAGTAATTAAGTCCTTTGTGTGCTGGCTTCCTAGTACCAACCCTCCTCTCTGGGGCAGTCTGGCTGTTTCCTAAACCAAGCATTGTGTCACCGTGGTGGCCACATCCTCTCTCTGGGCCTCAGCCTGCACCTGCAAAGGGCCCTTCCTGAGACCTGTGATGAGAGGCTAGTTGGTCTGACTAGATGTATCTGGAAGGTTGAGGCTCCCAGAAGTGGGGCTGCTGGTCCCAGTCCCAGCCTGACTTTCATAAACTCTGCTCTTCTGTTTCCTCTTCTGTAAGATGGGGATTAAATGGTGGTGCTGGGAGATTCAAAGAGATGACGTTTATAAAGCAGTATCCTGGCCCCGAGATGCTGCATCCTCCCCTCAACCCCAAACTGGAAGCTAGATACTTACTCCTTTGGCTCTTGCAAGATCAGCCCCCGTACTATGATGACCTGCCCGGGCCAGAGACCCCGGGGAAGAGCACATGAGCAGGGCACCTCCTGAAGGAACAGGGGAGATGACTGAAAGGTGACTCACGGGGTGGTGGTGGGGGTCAGGAAGGGCCACCTGCCTCCAGGAGCAAGTGGTGAGCTGGAGAAGGCCATCAGCCAGGAGACTCAGTGCCCCTCATTTACTAAACACTGACTGCACCTGCATCCCGCTCCTGCTGCAAGTTTTCTCTGGCCCCTCCTGGCTGAGCTTGGTGCCCCTCTGTGCCCCGTGCACCATGTGCTTCTCCTGTTGCTGCCCCCTGAACTGTGGTGGCTATTGAGTGGTCTGTCTGCCCACCTGTGAGCAACTGGGGGGCTGGGACTGGCTTGTCCTTCTACCTGATAGCCTGGCACTGAGCCTGGCACAGGCAAGTATGAACTAACTGTTTGCAGAATACATGAAGAAAAGGTCAAATGAAGCTGGAGCTTCAGATTGAAGCTGCCCAGCCCACCCACGGCCTGCAGCTTTCTGTGAAGAAAGGGGAAACTGAGGCTGATGGCCTTTCCCACCGCGTGGAGCTCCTTAGCCTCTCATCCCGGCTGCCCTCCCAGTCCTGAAGGAGCAGACAAGGGTCTCCACCTTCAGGAGAGACAGAGTTCACTCACCAGCTGGGGGCTCTTTAGCAGGAAAGGCTGTCAGGAAAGAAAGAGGGAACATGAGGCCACATGGTGTTAGCTCAGTGAAGGGGAACCTCTTGTTCCGATTCTTATAAATTGGAGACATTTGGGGTTTGTCTGTCTCACAGCAGCATGTGAGGGCCAGAGCCCAGTGGGGTCCTCTTGAATTCAGCGGTTCACCAGCTCTGGAATAATGTGGAAGAACTGGGCGGTGGATCTGTCATCCACCTACCATGTGGCCTTGGACAAGTACAGGGGCCTCGTCTCGCCTGCTGCCCTGTGAGGCCAACCCCAGCTAGCTCACGGAGCTGCTCTGAGAACTGAAGGCTCCAACCGATAGGAATCTCCCAATAGGAATATGGGGCCATTGCCCCCTCCCGCAGCCAGCCCACTCCTCTGTCTCCCCATTCTGGCCCTGGGGGTGGGCTCGGGGGGGCCAATCCAGACTGTCCAGGGACTGAAGCCACATCCATGACAGCCACAGCAGTGAGGGAGGGGGCAGCTGGGCCTTGTGCAATGGGCAGCCCAGTGAGGGCAGGTTGTGCTGGGGGAGGAGGGGAACAGAGGCTCAGCTAGTGTGGCTGCTCCAACCTTGTCCTCAAGAGACTCACGTGTCCAACGGGATACTCTCTGCGGCCCTCCACAAATGGCTGT